ATTTAAAGTCATCCTAAATTCTTAAATTGCAAATTTAATAATTCTTAAATTGGAAATTCTTAAATAGGAAACTGCTTTGTAGCAGAGATCTCAGGAAATTGAGATCTCACACATTTACTTGAACTGATTCCTCAAAGAATCTCTGCATTCTGTATTTACACAGAAAACCAGAGAATCAGTGAAACCCAGGATAATGTAGCTCGCAGTAGATCTCTTTCCCCTTTTTCATGTTCTCTTCGAGGATCAGTATAACCAGCTGTCCTACCAGAAGAGAAAGGCACTTTAAAAATCTCTTCCTCTTTATCTTCTCTCTTCCAGCTGGGCAGCTTCAAAGTGCCTTTATTACTACACAGGGTGGAAATCTGTTGTGCAGTAAAATCATTCACTTGCTTTCCAGTAACGACGTGAAGGGTCAGGTCTCCAAAGTGCTTAAGGAGTGTGAGCAAAAGATGTACAAATCTGTTGCCTTCCCAGCTATTGGAACAGGTTTGTGTTTTCTTGGGGAAGCAATGAGGGCTGTGATGGGGATAGTTCAGAAACTGGGGAAAAGTTAATATGGAGAACAGTAGACTTGTACAGGAAACTGTTCACTGCTACGTGCCTTTTCTTTTTGTTTAGGTCGAGCAGGACAGAGTCCAGCAAAGGTGGCTGATGAAATGTTGGATGCCATAGTAGAGTTTGCAAGCAAAAAATCAGTACAGCATTTGCAGACAATTAAAATCGTCATCTTCCAGACAAATATGCTGAAGGACTTTTATGAAAGCATGAAGAAAAGGGGAGATGTGGATTCATCCACAGCAGATCCATGGTTTTCTATGGTTAAATGTAAGTAGGTGGATTTTCCGTGTGCATGGGCAAATTGGAGTTCTTCTGTTTACAACTAGTAATTGACATATATTTATTTATTTACAGACTTCCTTTGGGGCAAAAAACAATCTACTGAGAAGGAGAAGCCCGTGATTTTGAAGAAGAAAGTCAATTTAGTCACCTCCTCTGACCCTCCAGGTACCTCGCCCAATCAGCAGTGCCTGCTGCCACTGCCGCCTCAACCCCCCAGCAATGATACCTTTGTTGCTTTCAATAAATGGACAAATATGCAGTCGGAGGATGCCAAATGAGCTAAAAAAGAATATCTTAATGTCAAAATTAACCAGAAGAAGTACAGGCTGGATCTGACTACTCTACAGGCTCATGATAACCAAGGAAAAACTATAAACGTTCAGTGTATGTCAAGGAGTGAAGGTGAATTACACTTGTGTTAAATAACGAAAAAGTTTAATCGTAATTAATGAATGATGCTTTCGATAAATGCCATCTTAGGTATCCTAGAAAACATAAGGTATTCATAGAATCAGAGAATCATAGAATCATAGATTTAACTGGGTTGGAAGAGACCTCTGAGATCATCAAGTCCAACCCTTGATCCAACCCCACTGTGATTACTACACCATGGCACTCAGTGCCACATCCAGCCTCATCTTAAAAACCTTCAGGGATGGTGAATCCATCACCTCTCTGAGCTGGCCATTCCAATGCCTGATCACTCTCTCTGTAAAGAACTTCTTTCTAATAACCAACCTAAACCTCCCCTGGCAGAGCTTAAGTCTGTGCCCTCTTGTCCTGTTGCTGATTGCCTGGGAGAAGAGACCAACCCCCACCTGGCTACAACCTCCTTTCAGGTAGTCGTAGAGAGTGATGAGGTCACCCCTGAGCCTCCTCTTCTCCAGACTAAACAACCCCAGCTCCCTCAGCCTCTCCTCATAGGACTTGTGCTCAAGTCCCTTCACCAGCCTTGTTGCTCTTCTCTGGACCCGCTCCAGCACCTCAATGTCCTTCCTGAACTGAGAGGCCCAGGGCTGAACACAATACTCAAGGTGTGGCCTCACTAACGCAGAGTACAGGGGAAGGATCACTTCCCTGCTCCTGCTGGCCACACTGTTCTTGATGCAGGCCAGGATGCCATTGGCCTTCTTGGCCACCTGGGCACACTGCTGGCTCATGTTCAGCCTCCTGTCAATCAGCACCCCCAGGTCCCTTTCTGCCTGGCAGCTCTCCAGCCACTCTGTGCCCAGCCTGTAGTGCTGCAGGGGGTTGTTGTGGACCCGGCACTTGGCCTCATTGAACTTCATCCCGTTGCAATCGGCCCAACTCTCCAGCCTATCCAGGTCCCTCTGCAGAGCCCTCCTGCCTTCCAGCAGGTCGACACTCCCTCCCAACTTGGTGTCATCTGCAAATTTGCTGATGGTGGACTCAATTCCCTCATCTAAATCATCGCTAAAGATGTTAAACAGGACTGGGCCCAGCACTGACCCCTGGGGAACACTAGCACTCTCTGGGCCAGCCATCCAGCCAGCTCTTAACCCAAAGGTGACTAGTGAGCACAGATTTCATGTTTAAGTCTGACAAAGAAAGTGGTGTATGAAGTGGGCTTTTCCAGTTTGTTTTAATTAGACATTGCTATGGGGATAATTGGACTAGAGAAAATGGAAAATCTTAACTTTGCATTCCTTACAGAGCCAGTGATGTTTGGAAGAGAGTGCTTGTAGAATAAAGTATTGTGAACAGTCCTGTCCTATTAGCCCCCTCTATGCAGTTGGTTTTAAGATGTGCCTGTGAAGCTGAGCTACTTTTCTATCATAATAACGTAATCTCTGTTTTACATATATGCAATCAACAGAGCTCCCTAAGGAGTGGGAAGACATGCAAAATGAAGATGTCAGAGTGGTGAATCTCAATCCATCGCATCCGCATTATAAAGCAGTTGAGAAGAGTTTTAGGACAACCTGTGCCAACTTTACCATAGAGAAGGTGAAATCCTATGGGGGGTGAAAATCTCCATGCTTGGGCTAGAAACATTAATATACTTTCTAAATATTTTTTTGCAAGGTGTCTACAACCCAATACACCTTTCAGATGTCAGAGCATAGCAAAGCAAATCTCTTAAGAGTTGTTCTGCCATTTCTGCCTTCTAATAGTGCAAAAACAGTGACTATCAGTCTTCAGCCGGACTCTGTGTTCAACTAATGTGGTACTCACTAGTTAATGTGATATTTCCAATTAAAAAATTCTATATTGGAATGGAAGCATGAGCAAACGTCTTCAGAACACAAGGAAAAATATAAAGTCCTTGCAGACTGACCATAAAGCTTTTTAGACTATTTTACAACTCCTTCCCTGTCATTCCCAGAGCCTTTCAGTCTAAGCTGTTGGTTTTAACCAAAGTGTCAAGATTTGATCCTGCTTATTAAGAAGTCTGAAACAGAATGCACAGGCATTTATTTAATTGCTGGAGAGAAGATATAGCAGAAAATAAGAGTGAGAATAATGTGTTTAAAAAATTTGAAAATATACACAGAACACTGATTATAGTCATGTAACGGCATGATGTCTTTTTCCACTAAAAATGGAAAGCTGTTACAGCAATGCCTTTCAGATTATATTTTGATGCAGAGACACTGCTTCCCCTTGAGCTATGTTCACATTGTTGGCATAGGGAGCCAGCAACATCTATCCTCCCACCAATTTATTTTTATATAGGAATTTCTTATGGATTGCTAAGCTATGCATTTAAGGAACCAAGTTTGACTTTCAAGCTTAGATCTAGAAGAGAAACAAATTCAGTGTAATGCTATCACTGCAGCCTATCCCTTAGTGAGGAAATCATCAGTAA